CTTTGTTCTTTTGTGTATAATACTTCTCTTTCCTCCACTGCCTTTTAGATTTCCTCTTTATTATTGCTTGTAAACAATTTTATTATTGTGTGCCTTAGTGAAACTTTGTTTATGTTTGATTGTGCTTATGCTTACTGGTCACTGAAATATTAGAATGCACACTTTTGTTTTCCCAAACTTGGGAAGTTTTATGTGATTCCTTCAAATATCTTTATATTCCTTCTTTTAAAAAAAAAACTAATTATTTTTTTAAATGTGTATGGGTGTTTTGCCTGCTTGTATGTCTGCTCACCACATGCATGCAGTACCCTCAGAGGCCAGAGGAGGGCATCAGAGCTCCTAAGTCTAGAGTTACAGACAGTTGGGAGCTATCATGTGGCTGCTAGGAATTGAACCTGGGTCCTTTTGAAGAGCAGCCAGTATTCTTAAATGTTGAGCCATCTCTTCACCTCCCCTGTCCCTCAAACACCTGCTCTTGGGAACTCTGGTTACACAGAGATATTGTCGTACAATATTGTAAGATATTGCTGCTGGATATTGCCTTACAGCTCAATAATACTTTTTTAGAAATATTTTTCTCCTTGTATTTAATTTTGGATAGTTTACATTGCTATGCCCCTCTTTGGGGTGGGGGGTGTTTCTAGACAGGGTTTCTCTGCATAGCCCTGGCTGTCCTGGAACTTGCTCTGTAGACCAGGTTTGCCTTGAACATAGAGATCTGCCTGCCTCTGCTTCCTGAGTGTTGGGATTAAAGGTGTGTGCCACCATTGCCTGGTGTGACACCTTTATTTTGAACTTGCTTATTATCAGCGGGGACTGTGTGCAGAGGTCAGAGGACAGCTTTGTGGAGTCAGTTCCCTTCTTCTAACTTTATGTGCGTTCTGGGGACCATACTCAGGTGGCCAGGTTTACATGGCAAGTGCCTTTTTCCCTGCTGAGTATCTCTCTTCACTGGCCTTGTCTATTGGGACATTTAAATGTACTAATCCTTTCTTCCATGTTGCCGGTTCCATCCAGCATACTCTTTCTATCCCAAACACTGGCTCTCCTCCCCTCATCCAGAGGTTCAATTTGGTTTAATGGTGTTGTAGTTTTGTTGTTTGTTTTTCCTTTCTTACTATTTAGCATGATCAATCATTGCCCTAGCTTTCAGAATCTGTGGGCCATAGTTAGTATAATTGTTTAATGTCTTCTGTGCTATTTGGGGGTTCATGTCTAGCAGGTCGTTGCATCCTCACCGAGGTTGTGTCTTTGCAGGCCTGGTGGTTGCTGGTTGGGTGGGAGACATTGTGAATTTCACCTTGGTGTGAACTGATCGTTTTTTTAGTATTCTGATAAATATTCTTGCGCTTTGTTCCGGAATGCGGCTAAGTCACTTGAAAAGAGCGTTCTTCTGAGGCCTGCTTTGCCGCCTTCTCAGGCAGAGCTACCCTCTCCTCTCCAGTACAGAAGCAATACCCTTCTAAGAAAACTACTTAATGTGCTGGGAGTTGAGAGGGTTTGCACTCGGGCTGCTAGGCATGGAAAAGGTAGCAGGCCTGTGTGAACTTTGGAAATGATTTCCTTGGCTCCTTTGGGATGGCCCTTCCTTGCACTTGGGCAGTCTCCTCACGTAGTAGTGCTGCCCATGTTGAGGCCTGCGGGGAGCCCAGCGGGCCTTTGAAGCTCCCTCTCCTCTCTGGGCTCTCTTCTCTCCAGGTCTCTGCTCTGTAACTCCAGCTGTGTTGGCTGCTCAGGCTCCAGGGTCTGTCTCCTGAACTCAGAGAGGAAGCTGTGATCCCCTTGCCTTGAGCAGGGTCTGAAACTCTCCCCGGGTGGAAGCTGGCAATCCTAGGGCTCACCTCATTAGTTCCTTCTCTCTCAGGGACTGCTGCTTTGTGCTGCCTGATGTTCAATGTCTGGAAACTTTTCAGCGGTTGTAGGACAGAGAGTAAATTGGCATCCACGTTTATATTCCCAGAAGCCCTGTAACTACATATTCACAATGAATCATCCCAATAATCCCGTATGTGAGGTAGGGCAGTTTATTCTACAGGTAAGGAAAACTGCCATTCAGAGAGTAAATCGTAGTAAAGTAGAATTGAAACTGTGCTAGGGAAGAAGATGGACTGTGGGCTCCACAGTCTAGATTTGACTCTCAGATCCCCCATTTACCAGCTGTAATCTTAACCTCTTTCTCCTTGGTTTTCTCACCTGTAACAACTGGGATGGCGATAACCAGAAATGAGCTAAAAGGAGTGGTGGAGGAAACGGCAGAGGTACCACCACATCAGTGGCATCTAAGAGCTGTGTACTAACGCTCTTATCAGAGCAGACTGGCTCAACATCTTTGTGATGGGCAGCCCACTTGAATCCTTGCTCCATCATTAACTCTGTGGGGAACTGTGGCCGTGTGTCAGTCAAGGTCGGATTAGAGAGGCAGAGATTCCTACCTGAGACATACAGGAAAGGGACTCTGGGAAATGTGGTCCAGCTAGCCTTAGCTAACAGATTCTGGAGACCCTGGGCTACCTGACCATCCTGAGTCCATGTCTTTTTCTCTGGGGCTGGATAGAAATGCTTCTCCTTGCATCCACTGGGTGAATGGTGGTCATGCACAGTGCATTAAACATGGAGACACAGTCTGGCCCAGGACAGGGTTCATCACTAGCTTTTTAGCATAGATGCTCAAGATCCCAGAGATGAAAGTTGCTAGGGAGTGATCTGAATCCATGGCTGCTGTCCCCAGAGTCTGTCTCTTCCCACTGTACTGTCTGCCTCCCTGTACTGGACTGAAGTGACAAGGTGTGGTGGTTTGGATGAGAATGGCCCCCATAGGCCCATAGGGAGTGGGACTATTAGGAAGCATGGCCTTGTTGTATAGTAGTGGGTGTGGCCTTGTTGGAGGAAGTGTGTCACTGGGGTTGGACTTTGAGGTTTCAAATGCTCAAGCCACACCGAGTGTCACTCTCTCTTCCTTCTGCCTGCTGATCCAGATGTAGACCTCTCAGCTCCTTCTCCAGCATCCTGTCTGCCTACATGCCACCATGCTTCCTGCCATGATGACAATGGACTAAGCCTCTGAACTATCAGCCAGCCCCCAGTTAAATGTCTTCCTTTATAAGAGTTGCCGTGGTCATGGTGTCTCTTCACAGCAATAGAAACCCTAAGACATAAGGTAAGGTCATCCCCGACCCCAAACCCCCAGTGTAGTGTTAGGTGAACCAGGGGCACAAGTGTGATACAGGGGAAAAGTGGGGAGGTGATTTGGCTGTGGGCAGGCTCTGTGCAGGGCCCCCTGTGGTGCCAGCTCCCATGGTTGGTGACCTCAGTTAGTCCAGATGAGAGAATGTGCAGGACAGTATCGTCATCGTCTCTGCAACTAAATAAGGGACTCTGAGATCAGAGAGATAAAGCCACATGCACTAGTTCACAGAGTCACCAGATGACAGGCAGGTGGGTCCTAGGACATGGCTAGAAGAGCAGTAGAAATCGCAGGTCGGGGACTTGTCCTGGGGTTGCTTTTGAAGATGGGGACTCCCCTGCGCTGGGAAGTCAGGGATGAGTTAGGAGTCCCTCCCAGGTCTGCCCTTTCCTGTGCCCCTGCACACAGGTGCCGGGCAGAGTGTTGGTGGCTGCAGTGCCTCAGTGACGGTGGTGGTAGTGGTAAGGAGGTATCCTCAGTGGTGGTGTTATTGGTGGTGGTGGTGTGAATGGTGGTGGTGTTAATGTGGGTGGCAATGGTGAGGGCGATGGGGTAGTGGTGGTGGCGTTGGTGGCGGCAGCAGTGGCAGCAGGGAACAGTCACACCTCGCTGTTTTGTAAACTGTTTCTCACAGCTTGTTTGTTCCGGGTTAGGGCTGGAGCGGCACCGTATGGAAGTGTGACTCATTGTTTAATGTGGCAGCTCATTAGCAGAGCTTGTTGCTGCCTCTGATTTCTCTGCTCTTGCTAATTGGAGAGCCCAGTGGGGCCCTGGCTTCCCGGGAAGAACCAGTCTAGATCCCCCAGGACTCCAGCTGGCCCTTACCCTCCTGACTCCCATAGGAGAACCCCCCCCCCATGCCAGCGGGCACTGGCGTCTGCTAGAGAGAGTTCAAATCCCAGTTTGTCTAGACTGTGTAGCTTTGAACAAGGTGCCCCTATGGGCCTCAGTTTCCTTATCTACCTCCCCAGGGTGGGTGAGGCTCATCGTTAGCATGTTCGACTCCTGGCTTGTAGTATGTGCTCAATAAATGGCTTTGCAGGATTGCTATTATTAGGCAGACACCTCAGAGTCCCTCTGTCCTGAACTCCCAGGTCAGCCACCCAGCCCACCGGTGGCCCATGTGGTCAAAGAATGAAGTCTGTTCCACTGAGGTAACCGGACATTTCCGTTCCTCCAGTCCAGGCCAATCCACCCAGAAATCCCGACTTTACTTGTTACTGCATTCTGACTAGGCAGCCGGGCCCATCTGTAGGCAGCGCTAGCCTTCCAGAGAGTGGACGTCTGCTCCCTCTCAGCCCCAGCTCTCCTCTCTCAGCCACACACACAGCACCTGCTGCCACTGTCCTGTGACAGTTCTTTGCTATTTTAAGGTACTTTCTCTCCAAGTGGGTCATGTCCAGTTTCTTCAACTGTCCCTTACATGACATGGTTCCTGAGGTCACCCAGCCGTACATCCTTGTTCTGAGGGCCTGCAATTGTACTCGCCCCCTCTGGACAGGCGACCCTGTGCCGGGACCCTGTGCCGGGACTCCTCCTGACATGTGCAGTCCTGTATTCCACCGAGTCTCCCGTACAGTCCTATGAAGACCTGCACTATTCAGCAGTGACATGGGGGAGTCACGCATGTCGTTTCAGTTTCTAGTAGCCAACTTAGTAAAAGTGAAAGCAAATAGGTAACAGCCACTTAAAATATCTTTATTAAACCACATTTATTCAAAAAAGAGTGCCATTTTGGCATGGGTCAGCATCAGAAATCCTTACTGAGATCTTGAAAGCATTTTTTATTCATGTAAAAATTCCAAATCTCGGAGCTGGAAACATGGCTCAGGGTCAAATGTTTGCTATGCTATACAAGACGGAGGATTGGAGTTCAAATCCCTGTAGCCCGTCTAAGTGCCATATGAGTGTGGCAACCCACGCGTGATCCAAGCACTCTGGAGACACAGACAGGAGATCCTGGAACAAGCTAGCCAGCTACACTAGCTGAATTAGTGAGCTCTGGGTTCAAGTGAGAGACCCTGCTTCAATATATCAAGTGGAGAGTGGTTAAGGAAGGCACCCGGCGTCAGTCTCTGGCCTTAACATGCATACATACATGCATATGCACTGTCCATTTATGCAAGCACACGTACGTATGAAGGCACATACATACATGTGTCCCCCCAGATTCAAATAATGTGTTACACACCCACTTGCAATACACCCCACTGCGGACCAGCCATGCTCCCTGCCCTCACAGCCACTCACTAGCAGCCATGAGGATGGGTACACAGCTCTCTATGGTACCTCTGAAAGTGGCCTGAGCTGGCTGAGGGTTGTGGCTAATACAGCACCCACCTAGGAGAGATGAGCTGTCATGGGCCTGAGGGTTAGCCCCCTGGCTGTGAGACATTCCGGGTCCCAGCCTGGCTTCCGTCTTTAGCTCACCACACACATTAGTTGGTTTTCTTGTCACGGTGACCAAACACTAGACAGGAAAAAACTGATTTATTTGGGCTTTGTGGCTTCAGAGTGGTCAGCCCTTTGAGGCAAGGAGGGCATGGTGGAGCATTATGGGAGCCGTGAAAGAGAAAGAAAGTAGGGGCCAGGGACAAAATATCCCACAGATTTACCCCAGTGACTTACTTTTATCTGCTGGGTCCCAACTGATGATGCTTCCGGCTCCCCTCCCCCAACCAGCACTGCCGGCTATGGACCAAGCCTCCAGCGCGGGAGCCTTTTGGGAACACTACATACATGAAAAAATCCCTTCCTCCTTCTGGGCCCATTTCCACATCTGGCAGATGAGGTGACAGGAATTCCCTCTGTGCTGGGGAGGCATGGCCATCATGTGTGTTCTTGCATGTTTCTCGGGAAAGCCCATCTTGTATGTCTTCTTACCTTGTTGTTTCAGCCTTGACATTAACACTCCAGGGATGTAGATTCACACAGCTGGTGAGTTGGTAGCTTCTGTCTTTGGCCCCTGTGGATACCAACATATAGCCCCAATTCTGTCCCTTCCTTCCCATGGCTTCTTCCATGATGAGTGAGGTGGTGGCATGTCCTGAGGTGACTTTGCAGGTGGTCCCTCCAGAGCTGGCCCACCAGCAGGCTAGCTGTGAGACCAGGTCTCAGTTCCTCCCTGTACCTGTTCCTGCTCAAATGGGACACAGCCATAGCACTTCCCTGGACTCCCTGCCCTCTCCTGTATCCTCCCCATTTCCTCAAACCCAGCTGACTTTCTGTTTGTGATCACAGACTTCCTTCTAATCCTAGGTAGAGCCACCTGTGAACAGAACATGACCCTTGACACAATCTGTTTCCACATGAAACACAGGGAACAACTCTACCTCCTCCTTAGCCCTTGCTGGGCTTTTAGTACGTCCTAAATACCAAATCTCTAGACAGAGAGCTCAGCTGCAGGTAGCTACTTCACTCTAGGAATAGCCAGGGAACAGAGTCAGAGGAGAGGTTGGTAGCCATGCCCTGGTGTACCCATCACCAAGACCAGTGGTCTTTTAAAACAATTGACATGATTTTTTACTGAGAATATTTTGCCCTCCCCTGAGTTTCCAAAATGAGAATAGTTGACCTGATGGTGCTTCTGGAAGATTCAGGGCCACTGGTGAGTACACATTTCCATGCTATGATGAAGCCTGGGGAGTACTGGTGTTTGCTCAGGGCCCTCTCTGTCCTGGGTGTCTTGTCAGATGAGGTCATCCAGGTCTCAGACAACCCTGACCAAAGTTTGAATGATGTTTTCACAAACGAGGAAACTGAGGCTTGGAGATTTTTACAGACCTACCATAGTCTTATGAAGAAGAGATCCCTCTCCTGTAGTAGTATTTGCTCTGCCCATGACCTTGGGCTATGTGGCCCAAAGAGGGCGGTGCTTCCTGTCATCATACATGACATCTTATAAGGAATTGGAGAAGGGTCACAGGCCCCTTCTCCCTGCTCCTGCCTGTTAGGTGGATTCGTTCCCAGGCAGAGGACGACTTCTGCTGTCTAGTCCACTCTGTAATTGTGAGTGCATTTCCTCAATTTATATCTTAATAAATCCCTATTACCCATTAAATAGACTCATGTGGATTGATCGTAATACTCCCCCCTTCTCCTCGTAGCTTCTTGAGAGCATACAAGAGCCCCTGGTTGACAGGAGTCCTTATGTGTATCCCTAGAATATTCTGGTTTCTTGCAGGATCCCCCCTCAGCCCTCTTCTTCCATCTTGCTCCACAATCACTCTCAGGGATGAGCTGCCCCTACAGTTTCGCCGTTTTGTACCAATCCACATCTCCCATCTAGACTTCTTCCCTGAACTCCATAACATAGGTCAACAGCCTGCCCAACTGGATGCCTCCCCTGGCTATCCCAACACTTCACCTCACCATGCCACGGCCTTAGGCCAAACCTAGCATCTTTCTTCAGTGTTTCTGCCAGTTCTGGGATTGGAGTCTCCCCACATATCTCTCCCTGACACCCCATGGCTAAGCAGTGAAGCTTCCACACCCAGTGATCCACGACTCCACTTGGTCACTAAGCAACCTTAGGCCTTGCAGTCATCCCCATTTCACAGATGAAGGCACGCTGGAGATTCCTGGTGCGCAGTAGACAACTGACTAGGACTGGTTCTTTCTGTGCCTGTGGGTATCTCTGTTGTCTAAAGTCACAAATTAAATCTGCTCTGATCAATCCGAGCCTGGGTACACAGCTAGCTCTTCCCACCAGGGACAACTCTAGGTGTCCAGCTGGCTTTGAGACTCCACTTGGCAAACTGATCTCTCAGGCTGGTTCCTTGGTTCTGTGGAAGCCTGACCATGACATGAGCCCTGGGCCTGCCTCCTCCCTCACTGTACTTCTTCAGGGAACAGCCTAGGGATAGGCAAGGGCGGAGCTTGAGGTGTGGGAACAGGTGGTAGTGAGCTAGCGAGAATATTCCCATCGGCCAGGTGCGTGTGGCCTGTCACCACAGAGCTGTTCCGTCGCAGCTGTCGGTGGAAAGCCAGATCTGGACCCCTTGTGAAGTAAGTATCCCAAGTGATACCTTACAGCTAAAAATGAATTTAAAAATTAAAAATTGGGTCTCTGAGAGACAAAGCAAACCGCCCAAGGCTGTAGCGCAAGCCCGGCTAAAGTGGGGCTTCTAGCCTCATCAATTAACGTGCTACTTCCACATCAAATGTCAAGGTGGCTGGTTTAGGAGAACTAAACAATTTCTAAAATGGCCAGTCAAGGGCTAGAGAGATGGGCCAGTCCATAAAGCACTCACTGCACAAGCATGGAGACCTGAGTTCGAATCTCCAGCACCCGCATAAAAAGCAAGTGTGCACCTGTCATCCAAGTGCTGGAGAGGTAAAGATGGGAGGACCCCTGGGGCTTGCTGGACAGCTAGTCTAGCCAATCAGTGAGTTCTAAATTCAATGAAAGACCCAGTCTTTAAAATTTAAAATAAACTGGAGAAGTGATTGAGGAAGACATGACATCAGCCCTCCACACGCATGTGCACGCACACATATACATACACACATGAGCATACAAAAAATGACTTGTGAAATGTAGGTATCAACAAAAAATAAAAATAAAAAGACTCAGAAAATGCCAGCCACAGCCAATGTCACTCACAGCTTCACATTCCGCAGACACCTGGCAAGACTCGCTCACAGGTATTCTCTCAGTTACTTCCTCAAAGGGGATTTTCCCAGATCCCAGACATGAAAAGAAAGAGGCAGCCAGGAGCAGCAATGTGCTCAGAGTCCCACAGGTGACAGGTGGTGCCTGAGAATGGGCGGCCAAGTCTTTGAGACTCCAAGCCCTGTGCTTAGTCCTCCATGGGACTGAACAGAAAGGGCGATAAAGAGGCAGATTAGGTTGTGGACTAAGACAGACTGACGCCCTGGTCATAGCACACTGAGTTGGGACCCAGGCCTTGACATCAAGCACTTTATGTAATGCACTGTTCCAAGCCACAGGCTGCCCTTCACTTTCACAGCTACTATAAAACAGTTACTCTCTTAATTATTTCACTGCAAGTATGTTGTTAGCAACAGCAAAAGGCCAGATGACTTGCCTATGATCACACTACTAGTAAGTGTGTGGACTGAAGGAGAAATAGGAAATCACAGCATCAGGTATCTGAGGGGGTATTCTAAGTTGCTTTTCTGTTACCGGAAGAAACATCTCACCCATAAGCAACTTAGAGGCTGAAAGGGTTTGTTCGGCTGGCATGGGCAGGGCTTGCCCAGCCCACCACTGAGGGAAATCAGAGCAAGAACTCGACTAGAACCTTGAATCAGAAACCATGGAGGAATGCTGCTTACAGGCTTGTTCCTGCTCATACTTAACTAAATTTCTTATGCAGCCCAGGGAATGATGCCGCCCATAGTGGGCTTGGTCCTTCTACATCAATGAACAATTAAGACAATCCCCTACAGACATATCCACAGTCTGATTTGATACAGGCAGTCTCTCAACTGAGACTCCCTTCTTAGTAACTCTGGGTTGTGTCAAGTTGACAACTGACATATTAGGACAGGGACCTCTAAAATCAGGGCCTGGACGGTGGTCACAGGGCACAAATGAATGGAGGTGGCCCTGGGTGCTGTGATGTCTGAAGTTTAATATGTTCTGAAAGACTAGGAGCAGGCACACACATCCTGTTAGTGGTGGCAGCGGTAGTGGGTACTGAGGCTTAGAGAACGCCGTATTTGAAGTCACAAAGCCAGAAAGGAGAAATGTAGTGTTCGCCTAGAATCAGCCTGCCTGAGATCTTTGCCCTCTGTATCATTCCACACTGTGGTTGTTAAAGGCACTGTCTCAGTTAGGCTTTCTATTGCTGTGAAGAGACACCATGACCACAGCAACTTTCTTTCTTTTCTTTTCTTTCTTTTCTTTTTTTTTTTTTTTTAAGATTTATTATGTATACAGTGTTCTGCCTACATGCCAGAAGAGGGCACCAGATCGAATTATGGATGGTTGTGAGCCACTATATGGTTGCTGAGAATTGAACTCAGGACCTCTGGAAGAGCAGCAGCCAGTACTCTTAACCTCTGAGCGATCTCTCCAGCCCATAAATTGACTGCAAATAAAAATTCTTTTTTTTTCCCCAAAGGATTGTTCTTTGTCTGGTAAGTCCTATCCATTCTAACATTGTGAACTGTCCCGGGCGTACTGATACCAGAGTCTTTCTGCTTTTCTGTTGTGTATTTCAGCAGTGCTGAGGACCAGACCACCAGGGCTCTGGGCATGCTAGGCAAGTGCTCTACCATGGAGCCACACTCCAAGCCTGACCACGGCAACTCTTACAAAGGAACACATTAATTGGGGCTAGCTTACACTTTCAGAGGTTTAGGTCATTATCTTCATGGCAGCGTGCAGGCAGACAGGGTGCTGGAGAAGGAGTGAGGAGCTCTACATCTTGACCTACAGGCAACAGGAAGTGAACTGCCGCACTGGGCATGGCTTGAGCATTATGAGATCTCAAAGCTTGCCTTCACAGTGACACACTTTCTCCAACAAGGCCACACCCCCTAAGAGTGCCATTTTCTATGGACTAAGCATTCACACACATGAGCCTCTGGGGCCATACCTACTCAAATCACCACAGGCCACACTCCTTCTTCTAAGTCTCTTCTATAAGCTGTAGCTTGAGTCCATTGGGAGACCCACGTCTCCCTCTCTTCATCTACATATTCTCTGTTCACACTGGTCCTGTGCTGGCTTGAGAGAGAAATGAGGAAGACAATGGTCCTGTTCAGCAGGAGTCCACAGATGAGTAGGTGGGTGTGGGAGCGGAGATTTACAGCAGAGAACCTGGAAACAACAACAAAAATGTGCCCAATGAACAAAGGAAGAGTTGCTGATGCGTTGTAGTGCTTAACTTTGTGTGGACTTGACTAGGCCCAGGAGTGCGCAGATTAAAATGCTGTTTCTGGTATCTGGGAAGGTGTCTCCAGAAGAGGTCATCCTTTGAATTAATGAACTTGAGGTAGGAGATTGGAGTCTGTAGTGTGTGGGGGCACTATCCGAGCTGAACCTGACTGCTTGCTGGAAATGGGCCATTGACCATCTTCCTGCCATTGGACTAGGGTTTTCATTCCTGGTCCTCCTGGTTCTTAGGTCTCCAGGCTTTAACTAGATCTACACCACTGGTACTCTATATCTCCAGCTTGAAAAGGGCAGATTGTGAGGTTGCATGAGCCAGTTGTTCACTATGTGCTATCTATCTGTCTGTCTAGCTATCCTCTATCTACTATTTATCTACTATCTATCTATCTGCTATCAGTTTATCATCTATCTATCTATCTATCTATCTATCTATCTATCATCTATTTATCTATCTATCTATCTATCTACCTAGTCTGTAGCTTGAAAAGGGAACTTATAGGACTTCTTAGCCTTTGTAATTAAGGGTCAATTGCTATGTGTTATCTATCTATCTATCTATCTATCTATCTATCTATCTATCTATCTATCTATCTGTCTGTCTGTCTGTCTGTCTGTCTGTCTGTCTATCTATCATCCATCTATATATCTATCATCTATTTGTCCATCCATGTCTATCTATCTTCTATTATAACTGTTTACCTTATAATCTTTAATCTATATCCATCTATCTTCTTTCTACACATATTTATCTTCTATTTATATCTATTTTGGGGGGCTTTAACCAGAAATAATGCTAGAGATTGGACCTAGGGTTTCACACATGCTAGTCAAGTGCTCTACCACTGAACTACAGACCCAGGTTTTCAATATATATCTTTTCTTTATGTCTACCTATCTTTCATCTATCTCTATCTATCATCTATTGTCTGTCTTTTGTCTACTTTCTCTCTAGAACTACCTGTTTTTTGTCTGTCTCTATCATCTATTGTCTGTCTCTTATCTATCTTAGCTCCAGAGCTACCTGTCTTTTGTCTGTCTCTATCATCTATTTTTGTCTGTCTCTTATCTATCCTCTCTCCAGATCTACCAATCTTTTGTCTGTCTCTATCATCTGGTGTCTGTTTCTTATTGCTTCTGTTTTGCTGATGAACTCTTATGAATGAATTGTCCAAAGGGATCAGTCCCAGGGAAGCTTCCTAGAGGAGGTGACAGCTTCACTGAGTTCCAAGATGGGAAGCACTTGTCAGGCACGAGAAAGATGCCTTTCCAGTGTCTTTCCACCACATGTGACTTGCTTCCTGCATCTGGGTTTCTTTCCCTCATTCATCATTCTTGCCACATTTACTTCCTAAAAAGGATTTGGGGTAGACTCTAATTTTTATAAAATGACACATACAATAACAATAGGCCCATTCAGTGGGGGAAGGAGAAAGGGCTTTATAACAAAATGGGAAGAGGGAATGAGCCATAAGCTTAAACTGAGGGTAGTTACTGCAGTCAAAAACAAGATTTAGCTCCACACTTCCCAGCAGGCAGCAAGGTAACATTGTTGTACCTACTGTGCTGTGGTGACAAAGAGCCAGAATCGCCAGCACACCCCACGGTCATGTGTTTCTGACACTCTTATATATTTATCTGATGCCGTCGTCTGGACCTTGAGGACCACATGATGGTGGTTTTGTCTCCAGCCTGTGGTTCTATGTGCATGTATATGTGCAGAACCTTTAAGAGGTTAGATCATTTGGGGGTCATGCTCTTTTGTGTGTGTGTGTGTGTGTGTGGTGTGTGTGTGTGTGTGTGTGTGTGTGTGTGTGTGTGTGTATGTGTTCATGTGTGAAGTTGCGCATGTGTAGGGGGTGCAAACATTTGTGTTTAGGTCAGAGGATAACTTTGGGTGTCATCTTCAGGAATGGAGTCCATTTCCTTTGAGATAGGGTCTCTCATTGGGTTGGAGCTGACCAACGATGCTAGACTGACTGGCCAGCGGCACCAGGGTCCCTTCTATACTTCCTCAGCACTGGAATTTTAAGTACATGCCACCATGCTTGGCACTTTTACCTGGGTGCTAGAAGTCAAACTCAGGTCCCTGTGCTTGTTAAGGCAAGCACTTCCTTGAGAAGCTATCCCCTGGTCCCTGGTTCTTAGAGGCTGTAGGACCGTGGTCTCTGTTTCCTTTCTTCACTTTCCAGCTACACTAAGGAACATCCTTCCCACCATGTTGTCTTCCTGCCTTGCCACGAGCCTAGGGGCAATACACCAGGTGAGCATGGATAGAGACCTCTGGAACCAATTTCTTCCTCAGATGTTGACTAGCTCAGGTATATTGTCATAGTAAGGGAAAGCTGACTAACCGCTGGTCGGTGTGCAGAAGTACTTTCGTATCACACCTTGTTCATATGATGAAGCTAGAAGAAAGGGTTTGGAAGTCGAGAGCTTTGGAGCACTTACTCTGGCCGCTCCTTTACAACTACCCCAACCTGTGACATACACAGGGGATAAGCAGGTGTGAGGAATGCAGCCAAACAGTATCCGGTTATGCCAGAGTCCTAGACCCACTGGCCCCAGCACAACCTACTTAACCAAGAGAGAGAGCTGAGGGTGAGATTTCCCAGAGCAAATAACCAGGCTAGATGATCAACTTGCCAAAATGGTGTCTCAGAGCCAGCTAGACACCTTCAGGTGTCCCAGGTGAAGGCTGAATGCTATCAGCCCTCCGGAAATGTCATTGCCATTACATTTTCTCTTACCGTCCTCACCATAGCCCCGTAAAGAAGGTATTGTCAATGCTGCCTCCTTGCTAAGGAAGATGGCTCAGGAAGGTGACATGCCTAACGGCATTAAATTGAAGCCAAGATTATAACTAAGGGTCATTGGGCACAATTCCTGTGCTCTCTCCACATTACGAGATAGAGGCTGGGAGAAAAAAAAATGATGGCTGAGGACAAGCAAGCAGAAGGCAACCAGGCTTGTGATAAATGTGTATGGCCTAAGGTCCCTTTGCTGGGGGAGGTGCCTTTGAATGGCAGTTGAAGAGAAAACCAGGATGCACATGTGGCCCAGGGCCCTGCAGGTAAGGTTGTGTTCCTTGTGGATGGGCAGGTGCAAGCTTCATTTAGTCCGTACAAGAGGAGCAGTATAAAAGAGGCTGCCAGGCAGGTAAGGATAGGCCCAGGTCTCAGGACCCCAGGCAGAGATAAGCCCACTAAGGGGCTGCCACTTGACACTTGGATTCATCAGAGCCTTGAAAGAATAGGCTGGAAGCACTGGTGTGGGCCATGTTCATGGCTTGGCCTCACTGGGTCTAACCCAAGTATCACATTGCAACGTTTAAAAAGCGAAGTTAAATAAGCATGTGGTTTCAGATAACGCTCGGGGTAGAAAGTGGCAAGCCCTGTGTCAGACATGCTTGGTATGGGCAGGCTGTACCACCCATGCTTGGCATCACCCATTTGTATAGGTAGCAGCCAGGTTAAAAAAAAAATCAACTGCAGTGGGGAAAGCATAGACTTTGCAGTGGGAAAACCCTGGCTTAGAGCCTGGCTCTGTGGCCCAAGGAGCATTATTCTGTCTCTGAGCCTCTGCTATCCCTTCTAAAATATTGTCAAACTCTCAAGTTCAATTAAGAATCAAGGGAGAAATGTGGAGCTGCCCAGCAGAGTGCCTGCAGTACTCAGTAAATGTTAGTACCTTCGTCACTGTCATCGTCCACGAGGACGAACGCAGCCGAAATAGAAACCAGGCAGGTTACAAAGAGTGCTGGCAACTAGTCTAAGATCAAGGCACTGGCCAGTCTGTGTCTGGTGAGGTTTTCATCCCCCTGGGTTAGTCACCTTCCACATGACCACGAGGTGAGGATTTCAAGGTAAGAGTTTGGAAGTGGACCGAGATGCTCAGTTCCTCGGATGATGCCCTCAGTTCCTCGGATGATGCCCTCAGTTTCCCCATCTACAGGATGGGAGTAGTGACCACTATTGCAGGTCATGACTTTCAGGACCCACACCACACGCCTGCCACAGAGGAGGCCTTCTCCCAACTCCTCTTGGCCACCTCCATTAGTCTGCTTGCTCTAACTACCAAGTTCACCAGAGGCCTTGGCTTCTGTGCTGAGATGCCTCTTACCATAGGTTCACAGTTAGCCCAGGAGGTAGTGAGGCTCTCCACGCACCGTGAAGGACACAGGGCAAGCAAGGCCAAGCTATTGGCTAAAAAATTCACAGTTCCTTTTCAGCTACTTTTTTTTGCAACCAATTTGGAGCTAGCTGTCTGAGCTCTACCTTGAAAATGGGAAGATGGAGGTGAGTGGCCAGTCTTGGGTCACACAGGAGATGCCTGATAAGGCTGATCTTTTCTGTCTCTTTCCATAGCTGCCTAGTATCTAGAGATGATGCAACAGCCAGCTTGGGTATGGGGGGCGGGGTGGGGGGGTGCTGTTTGGAGACAGAGGCTCATGGGCTTGGGCTTGGGAAAGTCTGGTAGGACTTGGAGAGCCTAGGGCCCTG